TTGATCGTGAATCACATACAATCTATCAACCAATAACTGGTGATGATGAAACCTCAATCACTAACAGACATATACCAACTTCAAACTTTATGCTGCTCTTTTTGAGTGAGAAAGACTTCACACAAGGTACAGGGTTTAAGGTACAATTTGAATGCCCAATATCTACTGAAGAGAATACAACAGAGGAAGAAGAAGAGGATGAAGATAGTCTTTAAGATAAAAAACATTAAATTTTTTGTTTATACATCACTGTTGTATATATAAGTGAATGTCATTTATATCAGATTTATTATAGTGATTGCATTTTTACCAAAAATTTTAAATTTCTATAAAGTAAAAATGAGCTGAAACTTTTTATGTAACATAAAGCCTCCGTAGACCAGGCAACATGTTGCTAGCAACATTTGTGGTTACTTTGATTTTGTAATCAAGATGTTGCTGAGAATAGAAATCAGTTCTATTCTTGCAACAAAGTTGCTTAAAAGATCAAAGTAAACCATAAATGTTGCTGGCAACAAGTTGCCTGGTGTATGGAGGGCTTAAGAATAGGCATTGAAACATGTATTATAAATAGAGAATTTTCTAGATTTCCAATAATAATTTTATTAAAAAGAGAGATGAAACATAAATACAAGTATTTAACTTAAACGATGGACACTGAACCTAATTTAAAAGTAAGATGATGAACAATCATTATTTAAATTAAGAACACAGATCTATTGTTGTGTGAACCAGGCAAAACTAATTATAAATTAGTTTACAGTATTGCATAAGTGATCAGTTTATAGCATATCAAATTGATACATTAAAAATCTTGCACTATATTTATTTTAAATAAATGCTAATGAACAGGACTGTAATAAATTGATGAAAAAAATATTATATCTATATGGAGACAATATTCTATACTGTTTTTATATTAAAGACTATCTTCATCCTCTTCTTCCTCTGTTGTATTCTCTTCTGTAGATATTGGGCATTCAAATTGTACTTTAAACCCTGCACCTTGTGTGAAATCTTTCTCACTCAAAAAGAGAAGCATAAAGTTTGATGTCGGTATAT